AAAACCCCACACTGTACCCCAGAAGTGCATTAATGTACATAGTTACCATTCAATAAGAAAAAAAGAAAGAAATAAAGCTAAACGTGCTGGGAGCTAACTTAAGACAGGAAGGAGAGCTGTTCTAACTAGAAATCATGTTGGCCTGTGCCCAACCTGAGAGTCTTCCTCTGAGACCACCTGGACAAGGAAAGAGAAAGAGCGCATGGCCATTGTGTCTCAAGCCAGGTGACAAGGACTCAGAACCTGGCCAAGAACATAAGGGTTAGTTGGCATTAAGCTCACCCCACCTCCAGATCACCCAGGCAATGCTGCAGCACCCTCAGAGCCTGCAGCTGGGCCAGCCTTGGCTGCACCTGGGAGGGAGGAGCCAGGGTTCAGGAGTGTGTCTATATAGCTCCAGGGCGCCAGGGCAGAGCACACTGCAGAGGCTGCTGCCTCCTCCTGCTATGCATGGGGGTGTCCAGAACCTTCACCTGGGCACTGGGTACTGCTGCTCAGTACAGGTAAGGCAGTGCCCCGGGCCCTTCTCCTAGGCCCCTCATTGCTTCCTTGTTTAACTCTCAGTGATCTGTGTAGTTTGTTGCTTAGAAACAAATGCCTTGGCCAATGGGCCCCAAGATCCTCTACTCCACACAGAACATCTCACTTCTGTCCGAGAGCTGGAGGAGGAAGGGACAAGCAGGGCAATGTCCCTGTCTCTAGGCTGATGCCATCCTGACGTGTGTTCTCTGGGTCTCCTCCTGCCTCAAGTGACATTGACTGCAACGCTGCTGGGCTCAGGCAGGGCTCCCCAAGCAGGGGATGAGTGCATCAGACAGGATGGTGTTCTCAGTGGTGTGATCCATGGCAGACTCTGGGCAGGGGACCTTGCTTGGGATGCATCCAGTGTGGCATCTGATGGGTAGCTGAGGCCCCTGGGCAAGCCAGTAGTTGGGTAGGATGGGCTCCTCGCTGCCCCCAGAGGATTGTACACTAAGCTGCAGGAGCAGCAACAAACTCAGCATCTGAATGGGGCTGGGAAGGCCCTGGAGGAGGGAGGGGCACTGCCCTCTCAGAGGGTTGGGCCCTGGAAATTGCATTAAATGACTGAGGACTGGGCCCCTCTGACTTAGAATGCAGATGGGTAAATGGGCATGTGCTCTCGGGGAGAGCACCTTCTTTCTGTCTCTCAACTTCTTCTCCCCAGCTCTGTTTCCTTGGTTCTGTTCTCATCTTTCTCTGGATCTCACCCTCTCCCCTGCCCTTTCTGAGCACTCACTTGGTGCACTCCTAACCTTTGCTCTCTGGCCCTGGCCAGGCCTCTATAGCCTTGGGCATTTGTCCTGCATTGCTCTCCTCTGCCACTGGGCACCTTCATCAGGGGCTGTCTTGTCCCACCTAAACTCCTGCCTGCCCAGATTTTTGCAGGGTGCTAGACACCAGGGCAGTTTGGCCATTTTGACTAAGGTTGTCGCCCAGCTTCCAATGCCTTTTTCTTCTTTACCCTGAGAAGGGTTTATGCTTTTGCTGGAAATTGGATGCAGTGGGGCCTCAGTGGCACTGGTCCTGGCATGTCAAGTACATAGAGGGAGATGCTGATGGGTTTCTTTTCTCTCCTTTGTTCAGTTGAAGCCAGAGGCCAGAAAGGCAGGTGCCCGGGCTTGCGGGTAGACAATAGTAAATGCTCTGACACCAGGTTTCAAAGCTGCTGTGATCCTCAAGTGTAGAGAAGGAGCCCCCACAGGGCTGTTCTTAGGAATCCGTGAACAAGAAACTGCCTAGAAGCTAACATAGGGTGAGTTAATTATTAAAGATTCCTGAGATGCAACTTGAAGTGAGCCTTTACCTCACAGGCTGAACAGTTGTTTGTTTAGTGACTGGTAGGGGGCAGTTCTAATTCTTCTCTCATCATTACCTCCTGGACTTAAGAACCCAGAAGAGAGGACAGCATGGCAGATGCAGGCACAGTCAAGAGATGTCACTCACTTTGGCAGCACTTTCCAGATTTGCCTTGAGGTCTGCTTCCTGGACACCAAGATTGAAATCTGGCAGAGCAGACTTAAAAGAGACAGCGGCTGTGGGGAGATGCTTCCTTCCACTGCAGAGGCTGATACAGCCTCTGGCCAGGCAGAAAGCTGGAGATGGGCTCCTGGGTCCTCACTGGGCATTATTTATAGAAAAGATTCTATAGCCTTACAAAGGTTACTAAATCACCTAGTAGGGAAAACCATCGAAGGTGAGACGTGAAAGAAATCGCGAGGGTTCAGGGTGACAGGCAGGTGTGTGGTAGGCCACCTGAGCTGGGAGCCGTGCCAGGGCACTGAGGGGCTCAACCTCCTGTCCCTGCAAATCCATCATGATCAGGATTTCTATTTCTAAGAAAAGCAAGTGAGGTTAGAGGGACTGAACAAATGGCGAAAGCTACTGTCTTCTAATGCCAGCTAGAGCCGGGGTCATCTGGTCTGAACCTGTGGGGCTGCCCCGTGTCACGTGCTCATGATGAGCCACAGTGTTGCCTCAACCGTGGGATGCCACCTGACCAGGCAGGGGAAAAGAGAAATAGAACCTCAGGACCAGCACTGAAACCCTCCAATGCCTTATCAAAAGGGAAGGTCAAGCCTGGAGGCTGAGTCATGCAACACCCACTTCCAAATGCACAGCAGTTACCAAGATCTGCATTAGCCAGGTCCCCACAAATGGGAAAGGTCTCAGGCATCTGCAAGGACTGTCCCCTCAGATCTTTCCTGGGGAAAGTCTCAGGCTTCCCATGAACAAGGACAAGAAAACTATAACTTCAGGTCTGCAGGCTAAGTCTACCTCCTGAAACTGAAGTCTGTTGTTCCCACACTGATAATGTTGGTTATAGTTTCTCCTTCCTGGTGCAGAACAGAGAGAGGACACGTTCCGGCCTTCTCCCCCCTACCTGAGAACATCTGAATAATTGATTGTCCCTGAAGTTCCTTCTTCCCTTCAGACTTTTACTTTACTGTATATAAAATGTGGATTTCCTCTGCACTAATTGGCGCCTAACAGGAATGTACCCACTTGCCTAAGGGCCCACCCCTCTCCTATCTCTTTCTCTGTCTTCCCTGAAATACTGAGTCCCAAGTCCCTTTTCACAAAGCACAGGTCTCTGATGCTTCTGTGCTGTGCCTTTCTCAGGCACCTTGTCAGACTTGGGCCTGATAAACCTCCATTGATGGAGAGAGTGGCCTCATTCACTCACATTGGGTTGACAGCTCTCTCTCGGATCAAGTATTTAACTGGGGTCTCAGAGAAATTTATAATGGGTTATTTCTACCACCTGCAGATTATATTCAATTGGTTTAATAAAATAGAAAATAGACAATTTGGTTGTTTTTTTCACATTTCCTTGTTTTATTCAAAGCATATGTATTAAAACATACATAATCATAAAAGGTGAATAAAGTTTGGTTTGTTTTCTACTTCTGTCTTAAATTCTTAAGTTATAGAGACAACTCAACAGGAACATGGTAATTTAATAGAGGAAAGAGTCACTTCAAATGTCTGAATGGATAAAATTAGCCCACTTTGTTTTGGGGCTACCCACCTAGAATGTTGGGTAGTTGCCTTTTGTCCTTAGGGAGGGACATTGGCAAGTGCACTAGTGAACCTGCTGGGCCTGGACGCCTTTTGATCTCTTGTAGGGCCGGGCCAGTGTGGAGGCCACTACACAGATGAAAGAGGTAGGATTATCAACTATAACGGGATAAAAACTGAGTGCGTCTGGACCATCGAGGTGAAACCTGAAGGTAAGGTTCAAGTGCTGTTTCCATATTTTCAGTGAGTGCTGACCTTTAATTTTGCCGGTGTTTCCATCGTCACTGGGAGTGGGCCCATCCTGGCCTCCTCGTCACCCTGTTCCCATCCACCACAGGCATCTGAAACACTATCCCGCTCCATTCTTGAACCCTGCCAAAAGCCCCCGTATTCTCTGCATGCAGCTGCCCTCCCTCTCATCTTGTGCACCCTTCACCATCTGGCTCTTCCTGTCGCTCTTTTCTTTCCACTTCTCCCCCAACCTCCCACCTTGGGTTGAACCATAGCACAGTTTTCTGGACCTAGCAGAGGTCAGCTGCTCCTGCCCTGTCTCCTCTCCCCTCTGCCTGAGGTCAGCTG